CACCCACACCTTCTCCGAGCTGAGGGCCGAGGGCCGAGCCGCTCGCCCCTCACCGATCTGCCCCCCTGCTCGCTGCTTCCCTTTCAAGCGGCGGCAGCCTTGGCTGCCAAGTGTTCCGTGCGCATGCGCACGGAACACTTGCACTTTTGGGGGGATTTTAACATCCCCCCGAATTTTTTTTTAAGTTTTTGCATTTTTGTGCACATGTGGGGACTGGCCCACGTGTGCACAAACCTCCCCCGGCCCCCCAGCTGCCCCCGGAGCGCTGATTTAGCGATCCGCACTCCGGGGGCAAGTTGGCTATTAGATATATAGATTGATAGGCAGAGTCTGAAAGATGACTCAAATATCAACTTTTGGATATTCTTCAAATCTATACATTTTTTTCTGCCACATAATGAACACAAGTCTATGGCAGAAGAGGAAGAGATGAAGAAGAGCTCTTGAAGTAACTCTGTGAATTGGACCTAAATACTGGATCAATATATCGAATTCTGAACATGAACCCATCTGCAGGTACAGCAATCTGGAGACCAGAGCCATTAACAGACAAGATAGTCCCAGGTTTGCAGGAAAAGCTAAAATCTAAGTACACACATACACATGCATGCACACACAGGAGGATTAACTACCCCCCCCCCGAAAAAATAACAGAAGCAGCACCAGTACCTTTAAGAAACAAATGCCCTCTGCAGTGGCCATTGTGAGGTTGCTAGACGACCACAATACTGCCAGTTTTCAAGCCTTAATTTCTGGCAGTAAGAGGCAGGGCTGTTTTGGCCTTTGAGAGAGGACTCATGGGACCAGGCCTGGTAGCAATCAGTGGCAGGCTCAGCTGCTCAATACTAATCAATAGCAGCCAGTATGGTGTAGTGGTTAGACTTTAGGATCTGGGAGACCTAGATATGAACCCTCACACTTCTGTGGAAACTCAGTGATGACCTTTCTTCAGTCACAAACTCCCATTTAACCTATCTCGCAGTGTCACAGTTAGGATAAAATGGAAGACAGGAGAACAATGAAAAGCGGGGGACAAAGGCTGGGTATAAATGAAGTAAATAAATAATAAATACAGTGCAGACGGGGGCAGATAAAAGGTATGTTAGCTGGTGAGTGGGAAGGAAAGAAAGAAGCACGGGGAGGGAAGGGGATATGGGGACTTTCAGGAGGAGAGAAAGAAGAAATAGTGGGGGAAAGGAAGAAGGAGAAAATGAAATGGCCTCCCTGCAATTCCTTGCAGGTCCCCAACTGCCACTGGTTATACGTATAAACCAATACAACGGTGATAATGAGAAAATGAAATGGGAGATGACATGAGCTGGCAAGAAAAGCAGAGAAAGATGCAGACAGGGAGACAAAAAAAAAGTATGTTACTAAATTATCAGTAATAGAAAAAATGAGAAACACATAGCAAAAAAAATGTAAACTTCCTGGCTTAAGCTACTCATATTTGAGAATGTCTTATGATGTAAGATATCTGCTTGTGGCTGTGACCTGTTATGTTTTAGACCCAGCTGTGTGCAGCATTCAACATAAGCATGTGGACCTCTCCCAAAATTTGGGGCGAAAAGACAATGACCAATTGTGTTCACAAAGCAGCAGAGAAAATTAATTAAATGAGAAACTATTATTTTCCAGATACTAGTAGTGGAAGCACCAGGCACCTCATATTCCTTGAGGAATCAGTCATCTGCCTTTAGGGTAAGCAGATGTCATTCAAATTGTGAAACAGCCCAGATCTCTGTGAACTGTCCTAGGGTCCTTTCATCTTTCCTGTCTGCCTACTGTTTT